TCTCGGTGCCTCCCTCCTTCTCTCTCCCCAGCTTCATGCTATTTGACCTTATGGCCAAACTCCCTAGTCTGATACGGTCTGGATTTTTATCCCATTTTCCTTAGTAAACCTCTACAGAATAAGTCACAAGGAAGGAGACAAACACCCAAACTGTCAGTATATGCAGGACAGGATGTCAAATCACACCTAGGAGCAGGCTTGTATTTCCTTCTGCTTTTAAAGTTATCGAGGGAATGGGAAATAGAAAAAAAAGAATGCAGCAAGACAGCACGCTAAGGATAACTCCAGAGATGGTAAATGCAAGTCTACGAAACACACTGAAACAACTGCAAGGAAATAGCAGAATTTTTCAAACAAAGTTGCCTGGGGAGCAATTTTTCTATGCTTACAGTTAGCTTCCAAGTGTGTTCCCTCTGCTGAAGGGAGCATGTGCTTAACACATGTGCTGGCTCGGGATTAGGCAACTGACAGTTGTGGGTATTGCAGAATATGCTGACATTCCCGAGCAGCTCTACTGGAAAGGAATTATATATCCCAGTGGTATCAGGCTGAGAGTGACACTGGGAATAAGAAAATTGGCACACGTGGGTAACTGGTCACTTAAAACTGCTTTGGACACTTCTATCGCAAACCCTCCCCATCCCATCCTCATACTCAGCTGCCAAGCCCAGGAAGAAGGAGGTCATCGATTGCAATGAAACGCTCCTCTCTCCAAGCAGCAAACCAGCTTTTCTGGCCACCAGCTGTACCAGCTCACCACGGGACCCCGCGATCCCGCCGGACCCCCGTGAGCGAAGCAGGATGCTGCCTGCCCGGCTCTGCATGGGAAGGCAGGATGCGGTGCTGGTAGCGCTGTGCCTGGTGCCCAGCCTCTCTGGTCCCCACCACGCCAGCAGCTTGCCCTCTCACAACAGTGTTTTGAAGACGCCAGGAAAGAGGAGGCGATTTTGCACGAGAAACGCAACGTTGGAAGTCCCAACCACTTCTGACCATTGCAGATCCTGCTGCGCTTTCCACGAGAACAGTTCGTCTCCTGGCCAAATTCCAGTTTGTGTAACTGCATTTATTGGATAATTATACTTTCTCAAATTGTCCCAGCAGTTTCAATTTGCCACGGTGCTATTCACTTCCTTTCAAGATGCCGTGGAGTGTTACAGCGTGCTGACAAGCAGCTGTTACGTTTCACCCAAGAAGTGACTGCATGGCAGTGGCGTGTGAAAGCCGTTCCTGCGCGTGCATCGTGTGCTTGCACGTGGTACCGGGACTGTAAAACGTTCCTTGGGGGTGAGGAATGCTACATAAGCACAGGGTAACAGTTAGCTATCAAATAGTAACATAACTCACTGCAATGTAGCTAGGATGTTGTGGGCAATTTCTTTTGAAATTGAATATAATCTTGTAAAAAGCGTCTCCCTCTGGTGGGTGAACAGAACATCATAGCTCAACAAAAATGAAGTGAGAACAAATTCTAGACTGTACACTTAACACACAGTAACAGCCACGATTTGACTTATTTCAAGAATTGAAAAAATCAACAATACAGACAAGAGAGGCTGATAGCAAATGCGTTATTTGGAAACCTCTGTCCAGGCAGATGCCACTACTGCACTGTGTGCACACCCCACCTGCCCTGCATCTTCAACTCCTTGTGCACCCAATGTGCCAAAGATCAGACTTTTTCCGTTCATTTGTTTGACAAGCCAGGCTTTTATCCTGCTTATCCAGCTTCTCACCCATGCCTTAAAAGTAAGCGTGAGGCAGCCACCCCTCATTTCCTCTACCAAACCACTGAGGAATCCTGTAATACCAGGATTTTATTCCAGAGAGGGATAAAACCTGTTACCTTCACAGTGGGTGACTAGCGTAGTAGCATTTGTGGGTACCCCCTGAGTGCCCTCCAACAGCAGATAAGGATAGCTCAGCTCCAAGGGTGCTATCCCTGCGAGATCACTTGGATCACATTGACTTCCGTACAGAGAAACCCAGGGCCTGAAGCATCTCCAGGTTCACTATCTCAGCCATTCATTTTAGACCATCTTTTTCCTTCACACCTTTTTCTTGCCAGGTTGTGAAATAGAGATCAATGGAGATCATACCTCAGTTACAACAAAAATCCTCTGGCACCTTTAGGGATCTCTGCACAATCTCAAAAGAAAAAAAAAAAAACAAAACAAAACACCAACCAGAAAAATCCAAAACCCTAAACCAAAACCCAAAAAAAGAAACCATGCTACTTTTAATAAAAAATATAAGGGTATTCTCTGGTGGTCTATCCAAGAAAGGGAGATTCCAGTTAATAAACTAAAAGATGCTGTCTGACCAAATGACTTATCTGTGTAGTCAGACATCTTAATAAATAAAGTCACTGGTTATATTCATGCCATGCCATCAAACAGCAGAGTACAGCTTCCCCAGACACAAACAAAATCCTGCAACATATCTGCTTTGCTACGGAAACAACTTGGTTTTATATACAGCATTCATTAGAAGCGTGAGTGCTATTAGAGCTACAAAACTGTACTCCAAATAAGCTTCTGCTATTAATAGCATACTGATATACACATTTACATAAGATGATGTCTTCCTTCTAATTATTTCCTAAGCTAGACTTCAACTATGAAATCAATCAGGCTCAAAGGGAGGGTTTTTTCTTCTTTGTTTAAAATTTTGTCAGGCCTACGGTCTACAAAGCCAAATTTTGTTTGGCCTGTGAAGCACTGGCAATTTTACTTTAAAGAACACTTTATGCTCACAGACTGCAAACAAACAGCAGAATTAATGACTGAAGTCCAAACATGCCCTGAAATGGTTATAGTCTTTTTCTTCAACATCTGATTAATTTTATCAAAACACTCAACTACTGAAACAGTTTTACCTGTCAGACTGCTGGTTTCAGGTAGCTCAGGTACAGCAAAACTTTGGATATTTTTATTTTTGTGCTTCCCCGTTTTAGGAATCTTTGAGTTTTTAATGCCTCTTTCTCCTACAGTTTTTATTTCTGGCTCCCCCAGTACTTTTGGGGGAGGTGATGACTTTGCTTCTTTGGAAGTTAAGTACTACATCCCAGGCCACTACAGCAAGGCAGCACAGAGCTGACATCCTCACGACCATTGCCTTCCAGCAGCTTCTCTATCAGTAAGAATTTATTAAGTTTCTTGTAAACTATTCTGGAACATAACAACCAAAAATTCTCTGGCTGGCTTTAGCCCCCACCTACCTATTTGGTACCTCTAATGTGAAAAAGAGAATTTCATATGATCCAGAGCATGGGCACAGATTTTCAAAGAATCATAGAATCAATTGTAATTTAATTCATCCTTATAAATCTTTCTCCTTCAGTGTCCATCAAAAAAAAAACCCCAAACAAAAAAAAAAACCACAAAACCAAAACCATCTATTTTGAACATTAGACTTACATTAATACTAAATCATGTGAGTGGGATTTAGCAACGAAACACCTACCAACATACTGAAAATGGGTGTGGTACTACTGAAACCCCAAGCTGACAGGTGGTTTCTGTGCAAGTGAAATAAATTTATCACTTGGCAAGACAGAAAAAGAGTTACGCCAAACATGTAGCACAGTCACTTAGAAAAATGCAGGATTACCATAATCCCACAAATGCTTGCCTTAAGTACACGTGCTACCAAAAATGTACCTTTAAAAAGAGTTGGGTTTTTTCCCTCTAATGATAGCTAACTCAAAGTAGTAAAACAATGCTAGAATTAAACTGATCTAAATTTAAATAAGTCTTTACCTTGTCCTTAAGAATATAGTCGGTATTTGACAGGTTAAGTATAGAAATGACAGTATATTGCCATCTTGAGGCTTGCTAGCAGAACTGCACGTCCAAAACAAAATACATATATTTGTTACCAGGCACAACAGTAATTTAGGCAGATGTGCCAAAGCCGTTATAAAACATACAGCATTAACACCGTATTTTTAAACTTTATTTTTATGTCAAGACCTCTGTAGTTCCTTTTCTGGACTGGAAGAGGGAAAACCCTTAACAGCAGAACTAAAAAAAAAAAAATTGCTACTTAGCACCTTAGATCCTGTCAGAAGGACAACCAAAAATATTCACCTCATTCTTACAAGAAAAATCTGCAGTTAAAGCTTAATTAGTAATACAGATTTCCCAGATCCTTTGAAATTACTACTCAAGTTTAGTTCAGCGCCAAAGACTGATTCAACTTAAGAAACAAGTTACATTAAAAGATTACCCCAAATTACTGCATGTAATATTACGAAAATACAGGTACACAATTACACATATAGCATTTTTTAATACAGATATGGTTGTAACATAGGAGTGTCCATAAAGAAAATGGCATGCTTTCCAGACATAAGACAATTTGGTGCTGGTTTAAAGGGGTAAGAATCACCAAACTACATTCAAAGATAATAGCTATTTAAATTGTGCTTGCAAGAACCCACCTTTAAACAAATCTCCATATCACAAACCTACGCAATACTCTGGCATCCTGCTCAAATAAAACCTACAAATGCCAAATACATAACCACCCTAATGTTTTACTCTTTTTTCCTTTTTTTTTTTTCTTTTTCTGTTAATTAACATCTACTTCAGAAAAGATCACTTGGAAAACCGTCTGTTGATATTCCCACCCCTAAAATAGCATGGAATATGCTCTGTTGAATTTACAGTCACCTGGGAAGCGCCAAGATGAAACTGTGAGGTGTGTGTATATATATATATATTTGATTGGCATATACGCTTTTAATAGAGCTCAGAGACATCTGATTTTGCTTGTTCGTGAAATCAATTACATCTGTAAGGCTACTTACAAAGGGCTACTGGTTTACTAAAACTGCTAAAGCTGTTTTTCTTCTCCTCCTTTCTAAACAAACTGGCCTGTACTCAAAACACACAAATAGCCATCTGAAGGCTGTTGTTTTTACACCCATAGTGAAGTATATTTTCCTGAGCCATCCAAAGGTCTTTAACCAAACAAGAAAAAGCCTCACTGAAAGTTACCTGCTTGGTTTGCAGGCTGCCAGCCCGAGTACTTGGCAGCACCCGGGGGTCCCGTTGGCTTGAGGGCTGCAGCAGACGTGGTGCTGGCGGGAGCAGGTCTCACGTCGGCATTTTCTTGGGGGGCGGGCTTGCTCCTTGCCGAGGCAGCCGTAAAAGCAGCGGGTTGGGTAGCCTCCAAGGAATCACTGTTCAGAAACGGGGGAGGAAAAAATAAAATGCATTTCTTGCTAGAACAAGAGCATTTGTGAAACGGAGATGTGGAGCGACATCCCTGCACCCTGTTGCAACAGAGCAGCACCCACTACTGTCATCACCGATGCTGGGGTGATCACCCCAGGACAATGCTGTGGAAGTTGTATTTTCAAGCTGTTTTTTAAGAACTGGACACTTGAGTAATTTCTGCCAAAAGTCAATACAGACAACTAAATCCCTTCACAATTTCCATTTAAAATAATTAAGTGTTGGCGTGATACAGGTTAAAGCAGAACTCTTACTGTAAATTTGGTTCACTCCCAGACTTTTTCAATATTTTTTTTTTCCTTGGAGAGTAGGCAAATACTCATATAGTCAGATTATACTTGTAAATCTGAATAAAAATCATCAATCTAAAAGTGACTTAATTATATGCAATTTTCTTCTATGGGCCACTGCTCCCCCAAACGATTAAGTACTTTAAAAGAGCTATAAGTTGCTTTATTCATTAAACAACATGCACAATATTTTATATGGCCTCTTTAGAGCAGTTTACAGCTGCTTTTATATTTCAAGGATTAGCAGAACTCTTTTAGCTATTTAAAAACACGCATGATGAAAACTGCACTTAATCACAATTCACATAGAGTGTAAGTAGCCACTAATTACATTGCCAGCAAGAAAATTTTTCATTTCTCATTTCCAGAGGCTGTTCAAGAATGCAAGTTATCATAACAAAATTTTTATGCAGTGTAACAGTATTTGTATAATGGGTATTTGCCTCTGGGAAGCTGAAAACAAGTATTTTCATTAAAAATCTTGAAAGTTAGAGGAGTAATTGCTAATGAAGGTCATTTGCAAACTAAGAGGATCACAAAAACAGGAAATGAACTCAACAACGTTGCGAAATGCAGCCAAAACAATTCCAAATACATATTTTATGCAATCTGGAAGCCCATCAGCTAACACATTAGAAGCCTTGTGTTCTTTCCTCTGTTGAAGAAAAACAAATTTACAGCACAAGTGCATCGTGCATATTTCACAGAATTATAGACTGTACCAAGTTCTTAAAGTAAAAATCCTTGAGCTATTTTTACTTTACAAGTATTGTACACGCACAATATTGCCTTGCCCATACAACACGCAAGAACTTGAACACACCATGAGGCCAAAACCTAAGTTCATAACCTTGATTCTTTTGTCTCTAGATTTAGAGGGTTAATAATTGATGTATTTAGAATCTTTTTCTGGGTAAGGGATAAAAAAAGATTCATAGTTTAGAGAATATATCTGAATGCCCAGTTTAATGAGTAACAGCTATTGCATTTGTAGGCTTTTGATAACAGCGGTAGCTGTGCCGAACTGACACTCTGATGGATTTGCTATATGCAGCGTGCACAAGCCCAGTGAAGCACAGAGTGAGGCCTTGCATTCTGTTACATTCAAATGTTAAAAGATACTTTAAAATACTTCTATAGCGCAAATGGAGGCATTTAAGGTACACGTTAGACTCCTTAAAGGCTTAGTATACAAGTCTTTTTAACAACAGATTTTGAGGCAGTGGAGATATACTGCATGAAAGTGCTGTTGCAGACTGAAAGAAGGAGGATAGGAAGACATCCTCTGACCTTAAATAGCAGGCTCAGTAGTTGAAGACAAGGTAGTTTAGGACTGGCTTCCACTATGAAAAAAGTGTGTGTGTCTGCAACTTCAGTGTCACAGATATCTCCTTCTATACCACTGAGTACATTTGACACGTAACCCATCAAGCCCACTCCAGTCCACAGCCCCATTACAACTTTAAGAATTCCTCAAAATGCTGTTGGTCCTAAAAAAAGCAAGTTTCCTCCTTCTCCACCCAAAAGACTCATCACCACTTGTCAAATCACTTTTCAAGTCTAGCACCTCTTTATTGCCTTTGTCTGGAATACATAAATCATATAAATCATCTGTCATAAATAAGAAAATGCTGCTGAGCCAGCCAGCAGCTGTCCTTACACAGACGAGGCTACTTAACAAGCAAAAATGGATGCAAGACTAGCAAAAAGGGTATCCTTCAGGCAGAAGAAGGATAGAAAAATGTAGAAATGGCTGAGGTGTGCTGCTGGTAAACTGCAGCCTTATAGTAGGTATAGGTGAGGAAGCACACTGACACTAGCCACAAGGCTAGTTGTAATGCCAATTTGTACTTCCACCATTGCCATTTTTGTGGTTTAATGCTGAGGCTTGTGCACGACATGGTGTGCTGGTTTTGGCTGGGATAGAGTTAATTTTCTTCATAGTAGCTAGTATGGGGCCGTGTTTTGGATTTGTGCTGGAAACAGTGTTGGTAACACAGGGATGTTTTAGTTACTGCTGAGCAGTGCTTACACAGAGCCAAGGCCTTTTCTGCTCCTCACCCCACCCCACCAGCGAGCAGGCTGGGGGTGCACAAGAAGTTGGGAGGGGACACAGCTGGGACAGCTGACCCCAACTGACCAAAGGGGTATTCCATACCATATGACGTCATGCTCAGCATATAAAGCTGGGGGAAGAAAAAGGACATGGGGGATGTTTGGAGTGATGGCGTTTGTCTTCCCACATAACCGTTATGCGTGATGGAGCCCTGCTTTCCTGGAGATGGCTGAACACCTGCCTGCCGATGGGAAGTGGTGAATGAATTCCTTGTTTGGCTTTGCTTGCGCGCGCGGCTTTTGCTTTACCTATTAAACTGTCTTTATCTCAACCCATTTTACTCTTCTGATTCTCTCCCTGATCCCACTGGGGGGGAGTGAGCGAGCGGCTGCGTGGTGCTTAGTTGCCACTGGGGTTAAACCATGACATATAGCATGCTAGTTCCTGAAGCAACAGATTACTGGAGACACTTAAGCTTTCATTTAGAAAACGAAAAGACTGGAAAGGTGAATCCTAACGACCCTAAACTAAAAGACAATGATAAATCCAGCTATAAAACCACCTGTGATTTTTGACCACCTCTGCTGGTTTACGTGCCAGGAGCCTGGCCTAGAGAGAAGTTTCCCAAGGAAAAAGCTTGAAGCCATCACTCTGACAAAGGGGATCATGTTGGCCTCAGGGCAAAACTTCTGACAGGTCTTAGACACCCTTTGTACTTTGTGCCTGATTCTTTCAACAAAGAGTTGAATAAACTCAAGCCGGTACTACAGCTTGTTAATTTAACAGGCAGGCTGCTGCTGCAGCTTGGCAAGTCTCTCCGCCTAGAGTGGGCTGCAGGAAATAGTGCACGCACCAGTTTTCCTGAATTACAGCCTCTAATCACACAGTCGCCTGAGAGCGCACGTGCAGCATTCTCTGTAGAGAGAAAGATAGATCCATCTTTGTCTCACTTTCAAAGAAGTGCTGCACCCTGGAGATGTTCAACCTGTGAAGTGCTAAACTTCTTCAAATTCATGCTTTAAAATTAATTCCTCAACATTTTACTTTATGTTCTTCTACATTGAGAAACACTCAAACTCCAATTATTTTTATCCATCTTTATAAATATAGCTATGTATCTTTTCAGAAGCGCACTTACCTTCTACAAAGTGGCTGTACAATACCCACAATTAGCCCTACTAGTATTTTGTAACTCACTAGGATATCATACAATGATGACCCAAGATTCATTACCTAGAAAACACATGGTTTGAAGAGACAAAAATATATACAGAAATTCAAGAAAATGAGTACATTATGGAAGAGAGCTCCCAGCTGCTTTTCAGTGTTGTCACTAGAAAACTGAAGGTGGAACGATAAGCCGTACGTATTTACCAAGTTCTGCATGAGTAGCTTTCTCAGACTTCCCAGATGACACTCACAGGTCAGGTTCAGGTCAAGCACATTTCAATGTCAAAACACTTGTACTGTTATTAATGACAAGCCTACCTTCTAACTCTAGCTTTAACCTTTTAACTCTGTTTCATAACTCTTAAATGATTCCTCCTCCACCTGATGAATACTTAGAGCAAAAATGAAAGGTTTCCATGATGAAAACTAATGCCACCAAGAGTCACATCCATTTTAAGACAGACGATGTTGCTTGCAAGACATGAATGCTCTGCTGTCAAGCTTTGGGCAAAGGTTGTGTATAAACCCACACAGCAAGAATGAAGGAAGAGTGGAACATGAGCCTGACTGACTCAGAGTCTTGTGTCCTGAAAACCCACGATGTGTTTAATTAGTAAGTTATGGGACGATTAATCAAAATAATCCTGGAAGTGGGCTGCAAGGGAAACAGATTGCAAAAACAGCCCACGAAAAAAGTCCAGCAAAGAAGCACGCTGAAGACACCTCTCTCTCTTTGACATACGCTAGCTCGTACGTGACACACTCTCCTGAATTTCCATGGAGAACAACTCTGACCGCACAGCGCAGCCCTATTCTGTCAGAGTAAGAGCATGTATGAAAAAGAAAGAACTTTCTGGCGGGCCAGTCTGAGACCTGGGGACACGCATAGGGCTCCAGTGCCAGTGCAAACTTTATCCAGAGCTCACAACAGGTTCCTCAGACTTACCCCCTCCTGATCCTGATCAACAAAAAAGCATTGTGGAAACAGGCAAAATAGACTAAAAAGCAAGAAATAATTCTTCTGCTATTCCTCCTCATCTTCTTCCCCAAATACCAAACACTGTATTACACCCTGTTTTTTGGTGGGAGGACAGAGAGAAAAAGACATTTGCCAGATGACTGTCCCATGGCTGAATGTGGTACTGAGAGCTTCTTGGATGCTACAGAGGGGCGATGGGCAAGGAACCTGCAGGGGAGGAAGTGGGTCCAGGCCACACGTGAAGTGTTTTTCAGTTTTTCAGAGACCATTCTGGGATATTTGCATCCATACCACACCCCCTTCCTTCCCAAAATTAGGTGCATCAAGACAAGGCTGAACACATTTCAGAGGCATTTTAAGAAATTTGCACTGGAAAATCCTTCTGAATGTATTTAGAGGTTTTGACGTGCGCCCCCCCCCCCCCGTTACCCCCCCCCAGTTCCAAGAGAA